TGGCAATATTGATCACTCATTATTAGGGGATAGCAAATAGAGTCCCTGGTGGTGCAGCAGGTTAAACCACTGAACTGCGGAACTTACTGACCGAAAGGTTGGCGGTTTGAATCTGAGGAGCGAGGTGAGCTCCTGCTGTTAGCCCCAGCTTCTGCAAACCTAGCAGTTCGAAAACATGCAAATGTGAGTAGATCAATAGGTATAGCTCCAGCAGGAAGGGAACAGTGCTCCATACAGTCATGCTGGCCACGTGACCTTGGGGGTGTCTATGGACAACGCCAGCTCTTCAGCTTCGAAATGGAGATGAGCACCACCCTCCAGAGTCAGACATGAATATATGTAATGTCAAGGGAAACCTTTACCTTAAGTAGTGAACCCCTGCTGTTAACTAGCCTCCAGTCATTTTTTTAAAAACTGAGAGAACACCTCTCTAGAAATATTTAGGTATTGTAAAATGACTCTATAGCAACTTACATTGGAAGCTGACTACAGACTCATATTGGAGGACCTAGACATTTCTAGAAAGGTGTTCCCTCTAGAAATCTCTAGGTCCTTTGACATGCCTGGAGGAAGTTGACCATAGTATCACAATGGAGAACCTAGAAATTCCTAGAAAGAATAGTTTTATTCAAATCCGTGGAGAAAAGTCAAAACTACAAATGTGGAGAGACAGCTGTAATAATACGCTGTGTCCAGGTTGGTTCATCAAGAGCTCTGCTATGGCTGACTTCTCCAGTTGAAGTAGCCTGCAGTGCCTTTCACGTACCTTGATTCGTGTTTGAGCAATTCTGCGTTTGGTGGTCCCTATGTAGACTTCTCCACAGCTGCATGGTATACGGTAGACTCCTGCAGAGGTGAGAGGATCCCTCTGGTCATTTGCTGAACATAGCATTTGCTGGATTTTCTCAGTGGGTCTGTAGATGGTTTGTAGGTTGCGTTTCTTCATCAGCTTCCTTATGCGGTCAGTGGTTCCCTTGATGTATAGCAAGAACAATTCTCCTCTGAGTGGATCTTTGTCTTTAGTCTTGTGACTTGTTCTTGGTCTTGCAACTCTTCTGATGTCTATGGTGGAGTATCCGTTGGCCTATAGAGTCCAGTTTAGGTGGTTCAGTTCACCTTGGAGGAGGTCCTCTAAAATCAGGAGAGTAAATAAAGGACAACACTCAGAAAACAGGAGAATTCTAGGCATTAAACATTAAGGACCAGCTAACACCTCCCAACAAAGGATTCCCCCAGACAAGAAGCACCCAGGTTTTGGAGCTGAAAAGCTATTCAATGCTAATCAAGATGGCCAATTGCAACATTCACACCTACCTTCAACGGACAAGAGTTTTTTCTCCCACCCTGGACATCATTCTATAGATATATAAACTCCACTTGCCTAGTTTCCAACAGACCTCTCAACCTCTGAGGATGCCTGCCATAGATGTGGATGAAACATCAGAAGAGAATGCTTCTGGAACATAGCCGTACAGCCCGGAAAACTCGCAGCAACCCATTTATATTGTGCCTTTTGACATCACATATAGTGCTATGATTCTACTTACTTATTTATTTATTGCATTTATATATTTTCTTTCTCCTGAAGTGAGAACAAAAGTGATTCACAAACAATAAAATGAAGTGAACTAAAACAATTGGAATAAAATAAAAACACAATTTAAATATCACAATTTTGAAAAACCTGCAAATTGACTATATAAAATCATTGATAAAAACGTAAAGGTTAAATCCAGTCATGTCTGACTCTGGGGTGTGGTGCTCATCTCATTTCTAAGCCGAAGAGATGGCGTTGTCCATAGACACCTCCAATGTCATATGGCCGGTATGACTGCATGGAGCGCCGTTACCTTCCCGCCGGAGCGGTACCTATTGATCTACTCACATTTGCATGTTTTTGAACTGCTAGGTTGGCAGAAGCTAGGGCTGACAGTGGAAGCTCACGCCACTTCCCGGAATCAAACCTGCGACCTTTTGATCAACAAGCTCAGGAGCTCAGCGCTTTAACCCACTGTGCCACCGGGGGCTCCAAAATCATTGATAGACCAAGTTAAATGAGAGTACTTTCCCCAATTGTCAAATGAAATGCCCAGACCTGCAGTTTCGGAAAGGGTTTTTCGACATCTAAGCCAGAAAGCTCTAATGCCTTCTCAAACTACAAACCCAAGGATTCCATAGAATCACAAGACTCATTTGTATTTTAAACTGGAATCAAAGTGCTATAATTGTGTAGGATCCCTTCAATCAACCCTCCACTTCTTTTAGTAGGCTATCAGCTGTGGGAATTCAACGAATTACATTGTCAAAGCGCAAAGTATAATGACACAGGGAACAAAGGAGATAAAAAGATTATGTTCTTCCTGCAATTTCAATCATCTTTTCCTATAGCCGCCATAAAGACAGCATAATGAGATTCATTTTCAAATAAAGGTTGAAGATGTTGATTATATTAGAACTGTTTTCAGTGTTACCCCCTCTAATTACCCAAGGGTTAAAGATAAGTTTTGGTTCTATGCAAGCAAGGAAATACTACAGAAATGAAAGATTACTTATAAATTTACGTAATAGTCTAATTACAATTCTCCACCATGGCATTTCCTTTCTGTGGTGGCAGAACAGAGTGCTCCTGTTAGGCAAGTGGCTGTGTGGATGGTAGAAGTCCTGCTGGTAGGGTCTCTCATGTCAGATGGGCTTTTCTTTTGATCAACGATGCCAAACTTGGCAGCAGCAACAGTGGGATGTGACACTGACATAGAATTATCCCCCTCTAAGGATTTAGTTTAAAGCCTTCTCAGTTCTTGGGGTGTATGTGGAGATGATAGCTTAAACCCTGCCTGAAAGTAAGCTCAAAATACAAGGAATAACAGAGAATAAGTAAGGGAGATAATGGGAGCTACTGGAAAATGAAGTGGACAACAAGTTAAACATGAGCCAACAATGTCATGAGGTGGCAAAAAAAGCCAATGGGATTTTGGCCTGCATAAATAGCATAGTGTCTAGATCCAGAGAAGTTATACTACCCCTCTATTCTGCCTTCGTCAGACCACACCTGGAATACTGTGTCCAATTCTGGGCACCACAATTGAAGGGAGATGTTGACAAGCTGGAATGTGTCCAGAGAAGGGTGACTAAAATGATCAAGGGTCTGGAGAACAAGCCCTAGGAAGAGCGGCTTAAAGTGCTGGACATGTTTAGCCTTCAGAAAAGAAGGCTGAGAGGAGACAAGACAGCCATGTATAAATATGTGAGGGGAAGTCATAAAGAGGAGGGAGCAAGCTTGTTTTCTGCTGCCCTGGAGACTCAGATGCAGAACAATGACTTCAAACTACAGGAAAGGCAATTCCACCTGAACATTAAGAAGAACTTACTAATGGTGGGAGCTGTTCAGCAGTGGAACTCTCTGCCCCGGAGTGTGGTGGTGGCTCCTTCTTTCGAGGCTTTTAAGCAGAGGTTGGATGGCTATCTGTCAGGGATGTTTTGAATGTGATTTTCCTGCTTCTTGGCAGGGGGTTGGACTGGATTGCCCATGGGGTCTCTTCCAACTCCCTGATGCCTCAGGTCAGGGATTCTAGGAATTGGAATTGAATATAGCTGGAAGAGCAAAAGTTTGAGGAACTCTGCTAGATAAAGATGTCTCCTTACGCTGGAACAGGCATGGGCAAACTTGGACCCACTTTATGTTTTGGACTTCAACTCTCACCATTCCTAACAGCCTCAGGACCCTTCCTTTCCTCCCGCAGCAGGTCAGGGATTCTGGGAGCTGGAATCCAAAACAGCTGGAAGAGCAAGAGTTTGGTGAACCCTGCAAGATGGAGATGCCTGGACCAGACATGGGCAAACTTGGACTCTCCTTGTGTTTTGAACTTCACCCCCCACCATTCTTAACAGCCCCAGGACCCTTTCTTTTTACCCCTCAGCAGGTCAGGGATTCTGGGAGCTGGAATTCAAAACAGCTGGAAGAGCAAGAGTTTGGGGAACCTTGCAAGATGGAGATGCCTCCTTATGCTGGACCAGGTATAGGCAAACTTGGACCCTCCTTGTGTTTTGGACTTCAACTCCCACCACTTCTAACAGCCTCAGGACCCTTCCTTTTCCCCTTCAGCAGGTTGGGGTTTCTGGGAGCTGGAATCCAAAAGAGCTGGAAGAGCAAGAGTTTGGGGAACCCTGCAAGATGAAGATGCCTCCTTACGCTGGACCAGGCATGGGCAAACTTGGAATCTCCTTATGTTTTGGACTTGAACTCCCACCATTCCTAACAGCCTCAGGACCCTTCCTTTCCTCCTGCAGCAGGTCAGGGATTCTGGGAGCTGGAATCCAAAACAGCTGGAAGAGCAAGAGTTTGGGGAACCCTCCTAGATGGAGATGCCTCCTTAGGCTGGACCAGGTATGGGCAACCTTGGACCCTCCTTGTGTTTTGGAATTCAAGTATCACCATTCCTATCAGCCTCTGGACTCTGTCTTTTCCCCCTCAGCAGGTCAGGGAGCTGGAATCCAAAACAGCTGGAAGAACAAGAGTTTGGGGAACCCTGCAAGATGGAGATGCCTCCTGGACTAGGCATGGGCAAGATGGAGATGCCTCCTGGACCAGGCATGGGCAAGATGGAGATGCCTCCTGGACCAGGCATGGGTAAACTTGAGCCCTCTAGGGATTTTGGACTTTAACTCCCACCACTCCTAACAGTCTCAGGACCCTTCCTTTTCCTCCTCAGCAGGTCAGGGAACCTGGGAGCTGGAATCCAAAACAGCTGAAAGAGCAAGAGTTTGGGAAATCTTGCTAGATGGAGATGCCTCCTTACTCTGGACCAGGTATGGGCAAACTTGGACCCTCCTTGTGTTTTGGACTTCAATTCCCACTATTCCTAACAGTCTCAGGCCCTTTCCTTTTCCCCCTAAGCGGCTGAGGGGGGAAAGGAAAGGGCCTGAGGCTGTTAGGAATGGTGGGAGTTGAAGTCCAAAACACAAGGAGGGTCCAAGTTTGCCCATACCTGCGCTGGACCAGAAGTGAAGCAACTCAACTTTTGGTTGACTCAGCACCACCCTTCAAGAGAGGTCTCAGAGGCTCCCAGTAGAAACGGAGACCTTCTTCCCAGGCTTCTACATCCCTCTCCTGGAGCATCCCTTTGGTGCAGAGACCGGCCCCTTTCTCCTCTGTGGAGGCAGCAAGGGCGTTGCTGGTAGACCGTGGTCCTCTCTCCTTCCTTTCTTCCTTCCTTCCTCTCGGCTCTCCATCCCAAGCAGGGGCGCTGCCTTCCTCCTCCTCCTCCTCTCCTCCTCCTCCTCCTCCTCGGATCCACGTGGGCGCTGGGCTCCCGTGAGCAAACGCCTTCCTTCCCAAGCCGGGATTGGAAGCGCACCACCCAGCCCTCCGTGGCCATTGGAAGAGCCCCGCCGAGCCGTGGGATGCCTCGGAGTCTCCGGCGCCTGGCTGCGGAACCTTGCTGTGTGTGAGAGAGCTCAGAGGGAGGAAGGAAGGCTCCGAAGGGCAGAGGCACCTTGGTGGGCTCCTCCACTTTGGCCAGGTACTCACTCTCAAGGCGCTTCCTCGCCGAGAGCCTAGGTGAGAGAGGGAGGAAGAGGGAGGAGGAGGAGGAGAAGCCGGCTCCTTCCAGCGGCGGGGCTTCTTCGCCTTCCTCTCTCCCCTTTGGCCTCCTTCCCCTTCCTTTGCAAGGGTTGCTTTCCAAGGTTGGAAGGCGGGCTCGCCATGTCCGGCAAGGGCAGCAAGAGGAGCCGCGGGCAGAGGCAGCAGCAGCAGCAGCAGGAGGGGAGAGTGACCTTCCCCCAGCAGCACCGCCAACAGCACCGGCAAGAAGAAGAGGAGGAAGAGGAGGAGGAAGAAGAGGAGGAGGAGGAGGAGGAGGAGGAGGAGGAAGGCCATGAAAACTCGGGACCGCGGACCCGCCGGGGTTGGAGGGGCGTCAATGGCGGGCTGGAGCCCCCTCCGCCCCTGAAGACCCCCAAGGACATGTACGGAGGCTACCCGCCCTCGCCCATCTTGGGCACCATGTAAGTCAGCGATTCTCAACCTGGGGGACCCCAGGGCGGGCCGTGAGGGGGGTGTCAGAGGGGTCGCCAAAGACCATCAGAAAACACAGGTTTTCTGTTGGTCATGAGGTTCTGTGTGGGAAGTTTGGTCCAATTCTATCACTGGTGGGGTTCAGAATACTCTTTGATTGTAGGTGAACTATAAATCCCAGCAATTACAACGCCCAAATATCAAGGTCTGTTTTCCCCAAACTCCACCACTGTTCACATTTGGGCATATTGAGTATTCATGCCAAGTTTGGTTGTATATAAATCCCAGCAACAACTTCCAAATGTCAAGCTCTATTTTTCCCAAACTACACCAGTGTTCACATCTGGGCATATTGAGTATTCAAGCCAAGTTTGGTCCAGATCCATCATTATTTGAGTCCACAGTGCTCTCTAGATGTAGGTGAACTACAACTCCCAAACTCAAGGTCAATGCCCACCAAACCCTTCCAGTATTTTCTGTTGGGTTTTTTTTGGTCGTGTCAGGAGCAAGTCGCTTCTGGTGTGAGAGAATTGGCCGTCTGCAAGGACGTTGCCCAGGGGACGCCTGGATGATTTTTGATGTTTTTTATCATCCTTGTGGGAGGTTTCTCTCATGTCCCCGCATGAGGAGCTGGAGCTGATAGAGAGAACTCATCCGCCTCTCCCGGTTATGGGAGTTCAGTGTGTCAAGTTTGGTTCAATTCCATCGTCAATGGGACTCAGAGTGCTCTTTGATTGTATATAAATCCCAGCAACAACTCCCAAATGTCAAGCTCTATTTTCCCCAAACTACACCAGTGTTCACATCTGGGCATATTGAGTATTCATGCCAAGTTTGGTCCAGATCCATCATTAGTTGAGTCCACAGTGCTCTCTAGATGTAGGTGAACTACAACTCCCAAACTCAAGGTCAATGCCCACCAAACCCTTCCAGTGTTTTCTGTTGGCCATGGAGTGCTGTGTGCCAAGATTGGTTCAGTTCCATCGTTGGTAGAGTTCAGAATGCTCTTTGATTGTAGATGAACTATAGATCCCAGCAACTACAACTCCCAAATGACAAAATCAATCTCCCCCCAACCCCACCAGTCTTCAAATTTGGTCCTATGAATGAAAATATATCTTGCATATCAGATATTTATACATCACAGTTCATAAGAGTAGCAAAATTACAGTTACGAAGCTGCAATGAAAATAATGTTATAGTTGGGGCTCACCACAACATGAGGAACTGTATTAAGGGGTCGCGGCATTAGTAAGGTTGAGAGCCACTGATGTAAGTAGAGAGGTCAGGCTGGGGAATTGCTGTTTTTGCAGGGATAAGGAGAGGGATGGAGCCCAGTGGCTTCCCTGCTGAGTCCCAAAAGTTGAGGGCTTTGGGAGGTTAAATGCTTGCCATTGTGGAGACCGGTTTGAGCCCCCTCTATCCCCCAAAAGATTGCTTAGTAGCCTAAGGTAGCCAGGGCTCTTGGTAGCCATGGAGAGGAATAACAACCCGGCTTGACCAGCAAGGCGCTACTAAGGAGAGATCTGCTCTTAGATAAAACTGAAGAGAGGCAGGCAAGAGTGAGGGTTGCTTCATCCTTAGTAGCATAGGGACAACTCTGTATTGTGCAGGCATGGACAAACTTTGGCCCTCCAGGTGTTCTGAACTTCAATAGTCAGTGTTCAATGGTCAATGGAGTACATAAGGACTCCTAGAACCCTTTTGAGACCCTAGTGGTGATGGGACAAACCACAGAGCACTGATGCGCATTAAGATGCCGCAGTTTGAAGGTAACTTTGAACTGTGTTCAATACATAGGGAATCCTAGAACCTTTTTGAGAGCCAGATGGTGATGAGACCAACCTCAGGGCGCTGATGCGCATTAAAGGCTTTATTTCACTGTGGGAGTTTGTTGGCTGGATGCCGTAGTTTGAAAGTAACTTTGAACAGTGTTAAATGGTCAGTGTAGGAGTACATAGGGAATCCTAGAACCCTTTTGAGACCCAGATGGTGATGAGATAAACCACAGAGTGCTGATGCGCATTAAGATGCAGCAGTATGAAGGTAACCGAACTGTGTTAAATGGTCAGTGTAGGAGTACATAGGGAATCTTAGAACCCTTTTGAGACTCACAGGATGCTGATGCGCATTAAGGGCTTTCTCTCACTGTGTGAGTTTGTTGCCTGGATGCTGCAGTTTGAAGGTAAAGTTGAACTGTGTTCAATGGTCAGTGTAAATGGGAACAATGTTATACTGTTTTTGTCTCCAGAGTGGAATCGTTCTGCACATCTATCAATAGGACTTCAGCCATTAACTTGGACCTAATGCAGGGGTTTTTTTTTGTATCCTCACTGTGCACAAGCTGGGTGTGTCCACTTAGTAGCACTTCTGGGTGATTCTACACCAGACATCCTCAAACTGCGGCCCTTCAGCTGTTTAGGCCTCCAACTCACAGAAAACCTAATGAGCTTGTTGAATTGTCAGGAATTCTGGGAGTTGAAGGCCCAAATAGCTAGAGGGTTACAGTTTGAGGATGCCTGATCTACACGATAGAATAAGCATGAGCAAACTTGGACTCTCCAGATGTTTTGGACTTCAACTCCCACAATGCCTAAGTCTCGGGCCTTTTTCTTTTCCCCTCAACCATTTAAGGAATTGTGGGAGTTGAAGTCCAAAACATCTGGTCTGAAGATTGCCCATGTGTGTTATTGTGGGGTGAATGCAGTTTGACACCACTCTGAAGCATCACAGCTATGGATCTGCAATGTTAGGCACTCACACTCTTTGGCAGAGAAGGTGAAACAACTCCCAGAATTCCAAAACATTGAGTCCTGGGACTTCAAGTACACATATTTCAATAGGACTTTGGTCATTAACTTGAACCTAATGTGGGTTTTTTTGTATCCTCGCTGTGCACAAGCTGGGTGTGTCCACTTAGCAATGTTTCTGGGTGAATCTCTACACTTACTTACTTAATGGCTTAGGCAATCCCTTGTTGTCTGAGTATGATGGTCTTCCAAGTATGGTGTCTTGGTGGTGGATTTGTAGGTGACTGTGGAGCCCTATTCTTGATCCGTATGTTCTTCCACAGTGAAGGCATCGATTTCCAGGTGGAAGGAGGTCCTGGTCGGGGTTGGCGGGATGTGCCTTCCTCTTGGCACGTTTCTCCCTTTCGCTCCCCATTTGTGCCTCTTTGAATTCCACAGCACTGCTGATCACAGCTGACCTCCAGTTAGAGCGCTCAAGGGTCAGGGCTTCTCAGTTCTCAGTGTCTACACTATAGAATGATGGCAGTTTGGCACCACTTTAGCTGCCTTGGCTCATTGCTAAGGAATCATGGGGATTGCAGTTTGGTGAGGCACCAGCCCTCTTTCGCAGAGAAGGCTAAAGACCTTGTAAAAGTACAACTCCTGTGCTTCTATGGCACTGAGCCATGGCACTCTAAAAGTGGTATCAAACTGCCTTCATTCTGAAGTGTAGGTGTGTGCACCAAAACTTCCATTGCACTTTGATTTTCTCCTGCATTTCCTGTTGGTATCTTTGCCCCCTTCTTCTAGAATTTCTATATCCCCTTAATTGTATTAATTGGCACAGTTTGGTGCTCTTTCATACACCCACACACCCATTTGCTGCAGTATGAGTATGTAAAGGGAGACCTTTGAGCTGGATCGCACAATAGCTCGCCTTAGAAGGTGAAATTGGCACCTTCTGCCAGTGTTCTGATGAATGAGTTCATATGTAACCACAGGAAGAAAAAAGGAGAAAGTGCTGCTCATGAAGAAAAAGGAGGCACTCATAAGGAGCATATGGGATTTAAACTTCTTCCAAGTAATCTTTGGCAGTAAGGTGTCCAAAGGAACACCAAAACACTTTCTCAAAGGAAATAATGTTGTAGAAAGCCACAGTCCATATATCTCCCTGAACATACCCAATCTTGACTAGTTTTATGAGTTAAGGCAGACGTGGTTAGCATTATTCTCCCAATGGGAATATGGTTTCCCAGTGGGAATATGGTCTCCCAGTTGGATTAGGAAAGAATCCTGCCTAAAACACTTGAGTTGACAGTAATGGGCAAGATGAACTGAAGGACTCATTCAGTATAATTCAGCTTCCTACATTTCTAGAGTATAAATTTATAAAACAAATTACCATATATACTTGAGTATAAGCTGACCTGAATATAAGCCGAGTCCCCTAATGTTACCACAAAAAACTGGGAAAACATATTGACTCGACTATGAGCCGAGGGTAGGAAATACAGCAGCTACTGGTAAATTTCAAAATAAAGACAGATATCAATAAAATTACATTAACTGAGGCATCAGTAGGTTAAATTTTGAATATTTACGTAAAATTGTAATTTAAGATAAGACTGTCCAACTCTGATTAAACCATTATTCTAACCTTCTTCAATGGAAATGTGCTTACGTATCCTTTCAATAATAATAAGTAAAGTAAAATAAGAAATGAAATAAATAATAATAGAGTAAAATAATGTAAATGTAATAATGACAATAATAATACAGTAAAATAATAAATGTAATAATAATAGAGTAAATTAATGTAAATGTAATAACAAATGTAGTAGATGTTCAATGTATTGTCGAAGGCTTTCATGGCTGGAATCACTGGGTTGTTGTAGGTTTTTTTAGGGCTATATGGCCATGTTCTAGAGGCATTCTCTCCTGACGTTTTGCCTGCATCTATGGTAAGTATCCTCTGAGGTAGAGACCTCTGAGGATGCTTGCCATAGATGCAGGCGAAATGTCAGGAGAGAATACCTCTAGAATATGGCCATATAGCCCAAAAAAACCCACAACCCAAAAATAGTAGAGTAAAATAATAAATATAATAATGATAAATAGAGTAAAAATAATAAACGTAATAATAATAGAGTAAAATAATAAATGTAATAATAATAGAGTAAAATAATTTCAATGTAATAACATAATAATAATAATAATAATAATAATAATAATAATAATAATGATAGAGTAAAATAATAGAT